ACGCACGCACACACACACTTACTCTCACACACACACAGACACACACACACACAGACACACACACTCACACACGCACACTCACTCACACGCACGCACACACTCACACACACACTCTCACACACTCTCGCACACACACACACACTCACACACACACACACTGATATTGAACAGTACTTTGCCAACTGTTTAGCCCTTATTTTAGATAGCCCCCCAATGCGAAGTCCACGGATCACCAGCCTGTTTACATGACCTAGACTACCAAACACCAGCACAATAAGCTGGCATTTGTACCCAAGTTTCCCAATGGTAGATATCAATGACTGATATTTTAAAGTCTTAGAGCAGTAAGAGTCCTCCATAAACAAGTCAAATGCACATGACACCTCAAATAGTGTAACTGTTTTCCCATTCTGAGAGAAGTTAACGATATCTGGTGTATTAGCAAGTCCTAGAAAAGTGTTTGCAGGTGAGTTGAACCATTCAGACTGTACAGTAGTGTGTTTAAAGATCTGCTCATCAGCCACACAGGGAATCTGAGCAGCAATGAGGTCCACAAGTCTGTCATGTCTGGCAGTATATAGTCCTTTAAATGATGAACAACTGTTCATGATGTGGGCTACTGACTCCAGGTGTTGAGGAGGGTCATGCAGCAGGCAGAGGCGTGAATGGGTGGAGGGAAACCACAGTGATAGGTTGTATTTTGTAGGAAGAACCTGTAGACGTGCTTTTACACAGAAAGTGAGGATCTCCTCACTGATGGTGGCATTGCTGTAAATGGTGTGTGATACAGAGTGGTCCGCACAGGGCAGTTTTGCCAACTTTCCCTGGAGTTTTAGATTGGACCAGTACTCCATATTTTGGGCTCTTTGAATAGACAAGAGAGTCTGCCTTGATGTTCTAGGCTGGAGCAGGTGAACAATGTTGTTATGGTGCAGTCTGGCTTCCACGATGACAGATGGGTCCTCTACGACTGCATCAGAGACCTCTACAGGTTGGTAGTGGGAGGTCCACTTCAGTTCAGCACCTGTCCTCCAGCATAGGTCGTTTAAGTCAGGCCAGTCTGATGACACACCAAATCCCTGTGCCCGTCCATCCAGCTTTCCATTTGGCGACTCAGTCATTATGTTGTCTAAGTCATCATTCCACAGGGGCAATTTAAGCGTGATAGTAGTTGGATCGGACTGGCATTTTTTCCGATAATAATTGTACACTTGCTCAGTGTTATCAGGATCAAGCGGTGGCGTGGGAAACATGCAGTCATTTAGGATAATGTCAGTCGCCTTTGCTCTACGATGCTGCCATAGGTAGGTTAGTTTGTTTTTGCCTACCTTTTGAGGGTTTCTCTGATGCTGTCTTGTGGCAGAGGCCATCGCTGGTTGTATCACCTCCCGCAGGTACCGCAGTTGTTTTTCAATCCAATCGGCCGGGTTTGCAACAGGGTTTGATCTGGATCACGCGTTATCATCCAGTGGCAAAGTCCTTAAAATCCGCACTACATACTTGAGTAACGGTAGTCCAAGTTGTCCTCCATCTGTACGTTTTATGGAAAATATTCCGGTTTTGAAGAAGGCCCCATTAAGAACTGTAAACAACCTTGACCACTTCCTGAAATCTCCGGTAAGTACAAAGTTTTGTTTTTCTTGTAATCGTTTTGTATCCAGGCCTTTCCTAAATTGTCTTTCGTGATACTGGAAATTTATCCATTCATTTTCTGTTAGCAATCGTTCATAATCCGTGAACTCTGTAGATGGAATGTTACAGGCCGACGGAATGAGTGCTCCCTTCCATGAACTAGGGACTTTACCATTAATCATACAGGTGTTAAATATGCTTTTCAATATGTAGCAGGATGTTTCAGATTCTCGTAAGTAACACCATCTGAACCGCTGGCTTTGTTATTGGGCAGATTTACAATTACTTTCTCAATCTCTTCTATTGTAAACGCCGATGTAGGCGGTGGCGACTCAGTCATTATGTTGTCTAAGTCATCATTCCACGGGGGCAATTCAAGCGTGATAGTAGTTGGATCGGACTGGCATTTTTTCCGATAATAATTGTACACTTGCTCAGTGTTATCAGGATCAAGCGGTGGCGTGGGAAACATGCAGTCATTTAGGATAATGTCAGTCGCCTTTGCTCTACGATGCTGCCATAGGTAGGTTAGTTTGTTTTTGCCTACCTTTTGAGGGTTTCTCTGATGCTGTCTTGTGGCAGAGGCAATCGCTGGTTGTATCACCTCCCGCAGGTACCGCAGTTGTTTTTCAATCCAATCGGCCGGGTTTGCAACAGGGTTTGATCTGGATCACGCGTTATCATCCAGTGGCAAAGTCCTTAAAATCCGCACTACATACTTGAGTAACGGTAGTCCAAGTTGTCCTCCATCTGTACGTTTTATGGAAAATATTCCGGATTTGAAGAAGGCCCCATTAAGAACTGTAAACAACATTGACCACTTCCTGAAATCTCCGGTAAGTACAAAGTTTTGTTTTTCTTGTAATCGTTTTGTATCCAGGCCTTTCCTAAATTGTCTTTCGTGATACTGGAAATTTATCCATTCATTTTCTGTTAGCAATCGTTCATAATCCGTGAACTCTGTAGATGGAATGTTACAGGCCGACGGTAGATGTTCTGGGGTAAAATCCAGGACTTGCCGGCGGTGCTTGTAAATTTTACCGCTTTGTATCGCCTGCTTAAAGGCTATTTAAGGCACACTCACACACACTCACACAAACACACACACACACAGACACACACACACACACACTCACACACACACTCACACTCACACACTCACACACACTCACACTCACACACTCACACACACTCACACTCACACACTCACACACACTCACACTCACACACTCACACACACTCACACTCACACACTCACACACACTCACACTCACACACTCACACACACTCACACTCACACACTCACACACACTCACACTCACACACTCACACACACTCACACTCACACACTCACACACACTCACACTCACACACTCACACACACTCACACTCACACACTCACACACACTCACACTCACACACTCACACACACTCACACTCACACACTCACACACACTCACACTCACACACTCACACACACTCACACACACACACACAAGGGGATTATATTTATATATGTTTCCCTAATATTTTCTTGGTATATAAACATTTTCTGGAAGTCCCCCTGAGATTTCATATTCCAATAATTCAATAACACATTTGCATGTTCATCGTTCTCTGATGGCGGTTAATGGTCACAAATAAGATACGTAATCTTTTCTTAATCTATTTTTACTAATTTGACCTTTTTACGAGTTTTATAAATGCTTAGTAAGTGTTTTATTTTGTTTTACATGTACTTAATCATTTTAATTTTACATTATTTTATACATTGTTAGCAATTGTTTTATTTTGTTTTTATTTAAAATTAATTAATGAATTTTAATGTTACATAGTTGTTTTTGGTAAGTGTTTCATATTGATTGTTTTATTTTAAAATGATTTATTCTAATATTAAATTTTTATGATTTAATTATTTGCTTTTCATCAAACCCTGCTTTAAGACAAGAATATCATCTCAGTGTTTTTCCCAAAATAATGTATTTGTGCAGAGATTCTCGACAGACAGTGATGTTTGAGATTCTTCTGAATGTGTGCTGTCATCGATCATAAATATAATGACACATAAACAGGACAGCTGTGTGGAATTGTGGGTAAAGGTCAAAGCTTTTACTAATCTACACAGTTGTATAATATTACATCGGCAATTTGCTTTTTGCAAATCTCTATAAAGAAGGAGAGGTAATGTTCTGTGTGTGTGTGTGAGTGTGTGTGAGTGTGTGTGAGTGTGTGTGCGTGAGTGTGCGTGTGTGTGTGTGTGTGTGTGTGTGTGAGTGTGTGTGTTCTTGCAGTTTAATCTGGTTTCTGGAGTCTAAGAAGACGCACACTGTTAACAGTGTTAAAGGTGATGAGAACATGATGCCAATCTACACTGATATGATAAGAAACAATACAAACGCTGACCAATACACTGTATAAAATAATTTTCAAAGTTGTAAATAAAAGGTTATTGTAGTACATTTTACAAGAACATACTATTTCAGTCGTTCTACTTCAAAATTTCACATTTAAATTCAGTGTTGTTTTAGTTTCATTGGCATACTATAATAGTTTTTGTTAATATTTTGGAATAGTTTTTATTTGTATATTTTCTGCTTTCATTTTAATTTTAGTCAAAGTTTTAGTAATTTTAATTTTTTTAATTTAGTAAGTTTCCGTTGTTTTTAAATATGTCTATATAGTTTTGTTAATATTTTATTAATATTTATTTCAGTTTAGTTTGCTGTTTTAGTACATCTCGTTAAAGTAAATTAAAATGAGAAATTTCACCTGGTTTAACTAACTAAAATGAATATGTCATTTTATTTCAGTTAACATTTATTTTATTTCAAGTAACAAAAATGCTTTTTTTTATGGCTTTAACTATAATAACCCTTGTTTAATTCAATGTTTCTGTAACGTTCTCATTTTTAAGTTCTAAAAAAGTTCTCTGAACGTTCAAAACGTTTGGTTTTTTTAATGTTTAAAAAATGTTTTTGGAACTTTAAGGAACGTTACATTGTATCATTTTGCAAACATGAAGGGAATGTAACGTTTAAAAAACATCAGATGAACATCCAACTAAAATGTTTCAGGAGAACATTCCATGAATGTTGTATAATAAAGTTTTTGAGCTCATGTTTTGAGAACATTATTAAAGGCCAGGTAACCTTGCATGTTCTGATAATGTTACTGGAATAACGTTAGTTCGTAACCTTGACCGAACGTTCCCTGTCAGCGGGGTTTCTGTGCGGTGATGTTTTGAGTGAGTGTTTGATGTAGTTTAATCTCTGCAGCTGTGGGATGGCGGTAAACGTTTACTCCACGTCGATGACCATCGAGAACCTGAGCAGACATGACATGCTGGCCTGGGTCAACGACTCTCTGCAGCTCAGCTACACCAAGATCGAGCAGCTGTGCTCAGGTGAGCTCCGCTCTGAAACAGCTGTGTGTGTGTGTGTGTGTGTTCCGGCTCTGCTTCGCGACGCTGACCGCTTGTGTTCTTCAGGTGCGGCGTACTGTCACTTCATGGACATGCTGTTCCCCGGCTGTATCCTGCTAAAGAGGGTGAAGTTCCAGGCCAAACTGGAGCACGAGTACATTCACAACTTCAAAGTGCTGCAGACGGCCTTCAAGAGGATGAACGTGGACAAGGTGAGACGGACAAAGATAAGATGCTTATATGTGACCCTGGAGCACAAAACCAGTCATAAGGGTCAATTTGGCACTAAATAAAATATAAGTATATATACTAAATGAGAAAGTTCAATGAAGAAAAATTGAAGCACTAAATTACTAACTAGAAATAAATATAAAAATAAAATAAAAATAAATTTAACCTAAATAATGATATTAAAAACATGACAAAAAGAATA